CCTGCTTTTTCTCTCATGCCAACTTATGTGAGTAACCAGGGCTCTGACAGACAAGCGTTAGCAGATCCAATAGTGATGAGTTAAGGCATTACTGCTTCCAGGAGATCCATGCTTCTCCTTGGTGGGCAGATACCTAACTGCACCTACCCTAGCAGAGCAGTGGATGGGAAGTGCTTTTGTGCTTCCAAACCCTCATGGCTACAGGCCAGGATGCACAGCAGCAGCTACTGCTGCTAAATCTTCCAACACCGCATCAACATCTGCAAGGCCTGCAATGCCTTTAAAGCTGACAAAATGACAGAGCAGTGTAAAGATCCACTAGAGAGAAGTCATGTTTATGGGGTGTCAAAAGCACCCCCCTCAAATTCAAACTGTACAAAATTTAGAAGTAAAGTGTAACAGCTTTTACAGCTCACTGCAGAAAGTACTCAAAACAAATGTGGCATTTGGGGAACTACAGCATGAACTATTGACCAATGTAATTGTCAGCGTTGGGTTCTGATTTCATTTTCACCAGTTTTCCATGAGTACAACTTTTCAAAGCACTTAAACATAGCTAAATTTAGATTGTAGATTCAGGGAGCCTGAGATCAGGAAGGGACCATCTGTAAGAGCTCTTCTGTAGCACAAACCACTTAGCTTCCCCTCCTGACTTCTGAGTTCAGCCAAATACTTTAAAGTCCAGAAGCAGTTCCTTTGAAATGAATTTCCATTACCCACCTGCTTTGAATCACAAGCCTGTTACATGGTTTGTTGGACCAGGGACTCCAGGAAAACAGAACCTGGTCTCCAACACTCCAAATCTTTCCTGAGCTTTCCAATAATGGTTTCAATAACAATTCTCTCATTTAAGATTTCCATGCATTTGCTAACAGGTTGGCTTGATAAAGAGCATCAGGATAATGAACTGCCTGTAATTGTCAGCTGTTATCCTCAAACTGCAAATTGTGCAAAATTCTGCCTTTAACTGTGCATGCCATTGTCCCTAGCTGAGGAGGAGGAGCAAATGTTTAGCTGCAGTTGCCTTTTGGTGCTTGTCACATAATAATACCAAATAATAATAACCAGATTCAGTTCCCAGTTAAATAGGTAAGTGTTCTCCCTATTTATGCTGGCATCCTAGAAGCAAAACACATTAACAAACTTAGGTGCACACAGCACTCAATTAAGTTTATGGGGATGGAAAGAAACACAAGAGCAAAACTGTTCTTGCAGTCTTCAGAAAATTGCGCTAGTTGTCCCAAACGTAACATCATTTCATATGAGAAGTTTGACTGTCTCAAGCATTATCCTACCATTTTCTCTCAAGAGCCCTGCTCAGGAAAGACTTTATTATTTAAGTCCAAGGGATGTAGGCAGGACTTGAGCATCTGCTTAGCATCACGCAGGTGTTCATATGTCCTCCCCAAACGAGAATTCTCTCCTGACTGACTCCCATGAGAACTGACAGAAAATACAGCATGAGCTCTACTATCTGTACTGAAGCTTCAACTCCTCACTCCTCTCTAGTCTCCCCTTCCCACCCCTCAATTTCAAAAAAACAGGAAAGACAAGATTTGGAGATCAAGTCAAATGTCCAATTTATTTTTATAACTTGAAACTGGAACAAACGTTGTTTTGAACGAGCGTACAAATGAAATGGTAGACACATGCTGAACTCAACATTGTGACAATAAGGGAAAAAAAGAGGCCAAAAATCTTGTACAGAGAATAAAAGGAACAATAAATATTTCACTAAGCCATATTGAAATGACCTCCAGCCATCTCAACATTTTATCCATAATAAAAAAAAAGTGCTCTCGTTTTTTAAACAGAGCACAAATACCAAGCAATAATAAATAGTTCCAAACTTGTAGTAAAAGACAAAACCTCCAAGTAAACAACAAAAGCTCATACAATAAGTAATAGAAAAAGGTAATAAAAATATTTTGCCTTGCCGGTACAAATGCAAACAACTTAAATCAATGTTACTTTGCTTTGCAGTTCTAAAATACAAAGAGCACCATAAAAATGAGTTTGCCTGTGATAAACAAAACCTTGGACTGTCTTTTACATAGGACTGGGATGAAATGCTGATTTTTTGACCCTTTCCTTAAAAACTGGCTTCTTTTATTTCTAAACCCAGCTTTTTGGACCTGTTCTGTTGCCAAGACAGTTGACTGGAGTTCTGCTCTGGACTTCAAAGGCAACAGGACTAGACACAATGAAAGTAAGAAATTCAACCTTAAAGTAATAATTAAACCTATTTAAATTTTGAAAATAACTACGGCAGCATTCTAGCTATTTACGTCTATGTTATATTGTGCTTATGGCCTAGTAAACTACAGTTCTTCTAAGCAAGAAGAAAAGGGGGGCCATTTCATTATCACCACAGTCTGCAGAAACACAACCCTTGTGCTTTTGGGTGACTTATTATTAGTTTTAGTGATCTAAGTCACAAAAGTAGATAACTGCTGGTGTTAGCCATCCTGGATAATTGAAAACAACAGGAAGAGACTGGAGCTCCTAAGGAACTTATACTAAAATGAAAGGTTAAATTCTTTCTTAAATCAACTAATTGTGGCCTGAAAATATGCAGGTAACTTTTGACCTTTATTACACTGATGCATGTCCAAGGGATTCTGCTGAGTTCTGTGACATGACTGGGTTTATATGAATGCCAGAGATGTGAATTTTCGCCAAAAAGTGAAAATATACCTTTAAGGGACCACATTCCAACCTCAGCTATGCTGGAGTAACCCAGGACTAAGAGTGATGAATAATTCCTGATTTATATCCATTTAATTGAGACCCAGAATTTGTCCAGAATTCTTAAGGGTATGTTGCTCAAGCCAGGAAGACATATATCTATCTGTTAGGTAGCTGGACCAAATTCTCCCATGCTTCTCCAATTGCTTCAACAGTTCTGCAAAGATTAAAGCAGAAGAAAAATCTTGCATGGCATGGCAATATTTTTTGTCATTGTTTTTGTTTTGTTTTACCGTCACTTCCTGGAAGAGCGGTGAGCATTTTCTCCTTCTCCCCTTCACTAGAGCATCACTGCCTCTTCTTCCACCTGTCTTCCCCTCGACCCAAAAGGGAAGAGAGAGGGAGAGAGAGAGAGAGAGAGAGAAAGGACTGCAAAGAAGAGAGAAATCAAAAGGCACAGGATTTCATCCCAGTCCCTCAAACATTCAGAAATTTATGGAATGTACAATAAGGAGTGAACAGCAGCAAAGCAGCTAATAACATGGACTGGCAAGACCTGTACACGGAGTAGGTCCTGTTCTGACAGGGAATAGGAGGGCTGTGCCTGGACTAATTTTACTTCAACCCGATTACAGCTATACCAACAGCAGGGCATTTTACCATTTTCTGTCAAAGTGGATGCAACAGCTCTCACGTTTTGCTATAAAACAACTTTCTTCCAGAGGGCAGTGGCAGGGTGTGGGCAGCAGTGAGTGTGGGTTGGCCAGGAGAGGGAAGATGTGTTGGACATCTTCTTGTTTGGAAGGGCGGGGGGGGGGAAAAGTCCCCTCTCTCAAATCAGTGGGGAAGTTGTGGGATGTCACCCCAGACATCTGCATGGGAATAGAATTTCACTTCACACAAATAGGCAATAACCATCCAGCCTGGTTCAACCATACCTGTAAAACCTTGATGCAAGGGGTCCAGGCAACTTTGAAGTTATTTAGAGCCCTGTGGGAACAGCACTTTTTTGTAGGCCATTTCTGACAAAAAAAATATATACAACTAAAATTATTCGTGAACAACAACAACATAAAATTAAAAATAAAGAAACACTTAATTATTTTGTTTTGTTTCTTTTACTCAGAGGTCGTCAAACAACCCCCTTTTTTCCTGTACAATAAGGACTTCACATACAAATTTTTTTTTTTATTTTTGCAATATTTTATCCTGCCAAATTAAAAAAATATATTATGGCAGCCTGTTTGTTTGTTTTTATTTTTATTTCCAAATTCACTAACAAAAAGGTACATTAAATCCCTTTAAAAGGACAAGCGTACAGTTAAAAAATTACAAGCTTCAGTAAAAATACAGCAAGTGCCTACATCATATGAATCAACCAATATCAATATCCATTCCAGAAGGGGAATAAAAGGGGGGAAGGGGAGAAAAAAAGAGAAAAATAGGTACAGGTCAGAAACGTGATTTTTTTTTTTTTTCTGCAAAGCAATAACAATATTAAGCACTTTTTTCTACATACTTTTTCTACAGGGTGTAGCAATTACCTTTTAATCCCCAAATACAAGATTCTATACATTTTTTGAAATAAAAATTCAACACCCAAGGCAGAAAAAAATTTACTAAAACTCAAGACTTTACAGTTACAGTGACAAGAACAAATTTATAGACCCACCATTTAAATTTTACTGCAACATTTTCAAGGAAAAAAGAAGTGTTTTTTTTTTTTTTCTTTCTGGTTTTGTAAAATGCCCAGGCATTCTCCATTATTACAAATACTGGTCCACTTTTACAGTAATCAAGAAATTTTAATATATATAATATATACTAAAACCCCGTCACCAAAAGAAAACAATATACACATGGCCATTATGGCATTTTTTTTAATAACCTATTAAGCAAACTTTGAAAAAAAAAAAGATTGCTCAAACACACATACACACAATTTCTTTTTTTACCCTTGTATGTATTCAATACTGTAAACGTATTTTAAGACAGAGTGCACTAAATTTAACTTTAAAAAAAAATTAGCCGTTGTTCCTGAATTGTTTTTTCTCATTCAATGATAACAACTTGTAATTTGTGTCATTTGCGTTTTAATTCAGCAGTAACTCATTTCCATTCCATTTCCTAAGCAGCGTTGTCCTGAAAAAAAAAAAAGGCTGAGAATAATTCAGCTAATGGATGTCCGAAGTTGTGCTGGGTATACATCTTCATTTGATTGGGTCTTATGGCATTTTCATGTCCACTATCTTCAACCAGTAATTTATTATTTTTTTTTAAGTAAATGTGGCTTTTTTTTCTAAAGAATGTACTTTTCTTGCTTTACTTTTTTTTTTTAAAGTCTTTCCATTTCACAAAAACGTTTTGCATTTGTCTCAAGAGACTCAAATAGGAAGATCAGTTTTCAAGGCACTCACGTCAAATTGAATGGCAGTACAAAAACTGTCCAATAAATTATTTTTATTTATTTTTCTTTATAGTGCCAGTATTGTGAATGCCATGCTTAGCAACACTGACACTTAATCTCAGTTGTTCCCTTACAGTTTAACCCACCTTTGGGCCAAATAGAAGAATACGATGTAATTTCTTGTTGAGAAGCCATTTTTCTCTTATCCACAAACAAAAGCTTTAAAGTGCGGGTCAACATAATTGAAATATCTAACCATAATTGTCCACTGTTGGCTAGTATTAGTTGTAAAAGGCTTTAAAAAATTTGGAATTTGAAAGTAGAGCAGGTGCATTTTTCTTTACTTTTTTCTGTTGTAATGCTTTTACCTGAATGCAATTCTAGTCCTAATTAAGTCAAGGAGAAAACTCTTACCAACTTCAAGTAGGAGCTGAATCTTGCCAAGACAGCTAAAGCAACTAGAATTTATTTTTCCCTTCTTTATAATAACATCATTGCACATCATATAAAATAGTTGTAATATTTCTATTCATAAACCAAATGCCAATGAGTTGAGGCTTTTCATTGCAAAATTCACACTTTCCCATCCTTTAGTAATTATTTTAACTACAACAAATATAAAGTAGATGTCCTGAACACAAACTTATGATTTTGTCATTTAAAAAGAAAAAAGATGGTATTTGGTTCCTCCAATGTTTGAAAATATATGATACTTGGGATACTTTTAATGTCTCTGGGAAGAGTAGCAGGAAGGGAAGACAGTGGGAAAGAAACCCAAAAAGTGATGAAATGGCACCATTATATTGCTACAGCTTTTAAGAGCAAGAAGAGACCACCTGATAGTAACACACAATTAAGAATGTTTCTGGATTTTGTATGTAGCTGCCTTCTGCACCTATGCTTTATCCATTGCCACAACTTTAGTGATTAAATCCATCTAGAAAAGGCCTCTATCGTCAGCGACATTGTCAGTGCTGCATGTTAGATCCAATTCCAAAAGAAAGTGCTGATTTTAAGATTGTTATCCGCTGTACAATTTTGTAATCCCTAATCTTTAAGGTTCTTGGGGGGGGGAGGGGAAGAAAAGGAAAAAAAAGAGTATTTCTGTTCAAATGCTGGCTTCTTCACAAGAAATTACACATGCGTAGCTTAAATTTCAACAAAGCAGCGGCCCAAAAATTAGAATTTTAAAAGATATGTTTCTCCTCTACAATGCAAGTAATCTCAGGCTACGACTGGGTAAAATTAAAAAGGGATACCCAACAAAATTTTAAAGAAATTTAAACAGAAAGAATAAAAAAAAGTACCTGCACATGCCAAAAAATTACAAAAACCCAATAAATACAGAAATTATTGCACAGTTAAAAGGCTCCACAATTTTTACTGCCTTAATCAACCCTCGGGTTTAATAGAACTTTGTAGACACAGGTTATATTTAAGTGCCAAAGTCTGGCACCTACCGTATTTATGCTAAGTTATGTTTACGGAGGCAAGTTAGGTCATCTTTTCTCAGTTGGCAATAGTTAAACTGTACAAATAAAATGTTACCTAGACCCCTGAAATTTAACCTAGCGGGGAATGGGGAGGGCCCTTAGCTTCTTTCTGCCTGCTCAATTTTGACGTCATTTGTCAGCAAATGTTCTCCATGCCACTTTTTCATGTGTTTCTCCAGGGTGCTGTAAACACTGAAGGGCATCTGGCAAATGTCGCAGCGGTAGACCTCCTTCCCTATCTGGCCATGCGTTTTCATATGGCGCGTCAGCTTACTGCTCTGGGCACATGCATAGTTGCAGAGCTCGCATTTGTAAGGCCGCTCTCCAGTGTGGCTCCGACGGTGCACTGTCAAATTGCTGCAGTTCTTAAAGACCTTGCCACAGTACTCACATGTATCGCTCCTGCGCCCTTCCTTCGAACTGGGTCGACCAGGGCCGGGACCACTGATGTGGGGGGTGCTGCCTCCGCTTGCCGTGCCGCTGCGCCCTGAGAGCCCCCCGTCCAGCATGTCCCCCGGCGGGGTGGAGAAACGCAGGCTTCCATTCTCCGATGAGTGTTCGGAGGAGGTTGCGAAGGGGGATTGTCGGGAGTCTGTGAATCCAAGGAATGGATCCTTCATGAAATGCCGTGATGCTGCATACCCTACCAGCCACTGGGAGTAAACATTTTCAGAAGGTATTATTGTTGCTGGTGGCAAGTCCAAATCTTTCTCTACCTTTATTCTTTTAGAGGAATTGTTTAAACTAGGGCTTGTGATAGGTGTTGGTTTGCGGGGGAACAAGTTTGGGAAGGGTTCACCTGGGCCAAAGTTTCTTCCATTGACTGTCCCTTCCTCAGTGCGGTCTAGCTCTCCTACCACTGAGTCTTCATCAGCTGGATCTCTCTGACAGAGGTCTCGAGGACACAAGTCTCGCTGGTCAGAAGACCTTTTCATGAAGCTACTCCTCTTCTGTTTTTCAGCTATCATGTCATTATATTGCTGGATGGTACCTAGACTTACATTCTCGATGACTTTTCCCAACACAAGGGATTTCTCATCTGGCAGCGACTTGGAGCCATTTTCTCTGTTACGACTCAGCTCCGAGTCCATACTGAAGCTTGACTCTGGCCGGCTCTCATTTTCAAGCTCCTCTTCCTCTTCTTCCTCCTCTTCCTCTTCTTCATTGTCATGGCCCAGGGAAGGATCACTCTCATTCCTGAAATCTGCCTCACTGGATTTCAGTCCCTCTCCTGTGAGCTCGCTTGTGCCTGGCTCAGGGGAACTAGTGGTGGACAGTCCATCATCTGACCTGCCTGTCATGGAGCCAGCTTTATGCATATGCGTTTTCATGTGGCGTTTTAGCTTGCTGGCCTGGGAGCAAGCGTGGTCACAGAGCTGACATTTGTAGGGCTTTTCTCCTGTGTGACTGCGCCGGTGCACAATAAGGTTACTCTGGAACTTGAATGTTTTCCCACAAAATTCACAGGACTTGCTCTTGGCCTGAGGCTGGGGAGGTGTAGTGCTGCTGGGGGGCATGGGAGGCAGTGGCGGGGTGCTCAAAAAAGGTGATTTAGGACTTGGCTGAAAAGGATTCAACAAGCGATGCATAGGGTTGGTGCGACTGGGTGAGACTGGCGGAGGGGTGGAACTGTTTCCTGCCAGTTCTCGAAGCCTTCTGGAGAAATCCATCGCTGGGGACTCAATTGCCATGGGGTTTAAACGCATAACTCTGTCAAAGGCACTGGGATGCTGGGCAACTAACCCCATTTCTTCGGCACTAAGGCGATGTGGATCCAGATGATGACGAGGTGGTGGGCTGAACAGCGGAGGTGTGTTTGGAAGCCGACCCTCACCAAAGCCAGGGTGTTCACGCAAGATGGGTCCTGTCATTCGTAAAAGATTGAAAGGGTTGTTGTCTCCAAGGAAATTCATTAGTGGGGACTGTGCAACAGTCTCCGGTCCCAGAGGAGGAGGGATGGTGATGCGTGGAGTAAGGGAACTGTTTGAAGGGCTTGTTTCCAGGTATATGCGGAATCCATGTGTATTCTGGGCATGCTGAAGCAAGAACCAAGCACTATTAAAAGGCTGCTTGCATGTTGTGCAAATATAGCTTGAAGGCTCATCTTTACCTATAAAAGAAAAAGAAGGAACATTCAAAAAATAATACAGCAGAGAACATTTAAATACAGTTGGCATGCACTTTATTTTGCTAACACATTTCCTCCTTGGCATTTCTGAAAGAAGGACTTAATTGCAATGTATTGACTGATATAAATTGTTGAACAGCACATTTACTCACCACACTTATTCACTTAACATGTATGACAAATATCACACGTACGCATTGGTGCTATATATGTTTATATCTTCTAACTTGCAAATAAAACCTTCCTTTATGACGCAGAAGGATCCACATCATTTCACATGTTTATTCCACAAAAAGGATTTTGTTTCAAGGGATTTATTAACTACAGACAGAAACCAAGGAGAATGCAGTGTAGTAGGTTTTACAAGGCACCTGCAAGGAGCTTCAGTGTCATTCTCACTCTGTCATTTTATATTTTTATATACTTCATGCAACAGTCCCCTGAGATCTTGCTAAAATTAATTTATACATGCTTCAGTCATGCCAGGACTTCCATTTTTAAAATACTACGTAGGTATTTAGCTGCACAAGTTCTATTCAAGTCAACAGGAGCTTGGAAAACATACCCTTGCATAAACCACTTTGACATTCTTTTTGCCAAAACACCAAGAAGCCACTCAAATGAAACATCCGGTAATCAAAGCCAACAGCACAGTTGCAATTAACAGTAACAAACGTCGGGCCATGCTTGAACTGGGTCCCAAGAATTTCTGAGCCTGAGCCTGCCCTCCAATGCAGAAACGCTCACCGGAGCCAAAAACATTGTTCTGTTTGCCTTTCTAGCCTTTTTGAACGACTGCATGAAGGTGGAAAGCATTCCTTCAACCTTGATTCAGCTTTACATAAAGGACAGGTGTGGACAAGTCTGCACTACAGTCATAATTTTGCTAGCTAGAAAATTCCAGTCCTGAGGACAATATAAACTATGTGCTATCTCAAAAAAGCACTTTCCCCCCTCTCCTCCTTTTTTTTCAGTGCTTCTTCAAGACTCTGATAAACTCATAAAAATGTGTCAACTTGAAAATCATGATCCAGGATTTATTTTGTTGTTGTTGTTTTTTAAATGAGGGGGAGGTTTCCTGAAAAACAACTACCCATTTTAGAATATCTAAAATTAATTTGTTGCTTGTTTGTTTGTTTATGAAAGCACATATTTTGGCTAGCAATAGCCCCACTGCACCTAAAGGCACTAAACTTCCTGAAAGTTCAAAGCCTGAACCAAGCTTCCCGCCTGACCCGTATGTGCACAACAACTGAGATGAAGCCCTACCCTAGCCCCTTCGCAGATCCAAAGCTGAACTACATGACCCCTTTCTAGATGAAGAGGACTGCAGTTCACAAAAGCCCAATGCTTGAGCTTGAGAATGAGCTTATAAGGTGAACAGAGCTGTATTATCAAAACTACCTTTGTAAAGAGGAATGACTCATAGCAGTCAAAAAAAATAAAGAGAAAAAAAATTAAACTCGAGCACACCAGGTGAAGCAGGATTGCTGCTGACTGAATTCCTCTCTTCTGGCAGTTGCAGGAATGGCTACTGATAGCAAAACCTACAAAACCTTAGACAAGGGGGCTAGAGGATTATCTGCCTACCTATCAGCCTGTCAGTCTATTTAATGTTATCACCCAATGTACATCCATAAAAGCGCAAAGGAAAAAGCATCTATCAGATTGAGACTTATTTACAAAGGTAGGTGATAAATGTGGTGCAGCTCCTCAAGCTCCTATTGATTTAGTAGGGCTACTGCTGTGGATAGCAGCTTCAGACCCTGATTTCAGAGAAGCTGCCTCTCTACATTCAAGAAAAGATGCACACAACACACCAAGTGTTTCTGCCTCTCTGACATGGCCCCTGTGCCCCGATCCTGCACACGGTATTGTATGGGACAGACCCAGTTGCTTTGATTACTCTCTAACAACTGCTCTTGGAAAAAAACACAAGTTTGGGAACTGCACTCAGCTTGGAAAAAGTGCCAGTAACTGCTATTGACATTAATGAAAACCACATACAAACACGGAAAGGAACTGATACATTATCCCTTAAAAATCTACTCAGCACGGAGGCAGTTAGGGAGTTTTATGTCAGCTCTGCAGCCAAAGCAACAGTAAATGCTCCCATTATTACTTCAAATATTTAAATTTCTGTTTCTTACAGAAATACGATGAAAATGTCTAGACTTTTAATTTTCTTGCACAGCAACATGTGTAGTATAAAAAGTGACAAAAATCACTGAAGCAGACTAAAGTATATAACATACTCTGTCAAAAGCTTTTTTTAACAATATGTTTTACCTCAGCTCACCCTAGAATAGATTTTAATAAAGCCCCTTCCAAAGTGTGATATAATAGCAAATGAAGTGCAGCATCTTACAAGGTCATATATCTTCAAATTAAAGAGTGCTCTGCACCCTTCACCTTCATTTTATCCACTCTAATTAATCGATTTATTACCCACAGCTGTTCAATTCTTTAATTTTTAAAGTCACAGCATGCATTCTTTCTTCATTCTTTTTTGTTGTGGGGTTTTTTCTTTAAAAAAATTAAGTGTGAGAGTGTGTATGTGCATGCATTCCCCTTGCTTAGCTCAAGAGCTGACAGGATGAAGAAAGCTGTGTATTAGACAACAATGACAACAACAGCAACACATTTACTTCAGCACATACATAAGGAGAAAAATTCCTGAGCAGACTGAAGATCAAGGCCAATATAAAACTGAAATGGCTGATTAAAAAAATTGCCCTCAAAATGGCAGCTGGCTGGATGCTTGCTACTACTTGTTACATGGAACTGAGATGTTTTGTTTTGTCCTCCAAAACTTCACCTCTGTAATATTCAAGTGAGGAAAGTAAATTCCCCTCCTTTTTAGTTTCTTTTGAACAGAGCAAATTAGTCCTATTAGTGCTAAGATTTACAAGCTAGCAGTCATAAAACAGTCTTCCTTTTTGTTTTGTTTAGCTTTTATGCTCCTTAGCTCCGAGAAACCCTGACCTGATGGCAAAATTGACTGCAGGCTACCTAGCTACCAATTTCTGACTTCTTCACGAGTGTTCACGTGTGTATGCCTGTGTGTCCACCGTTTAACTTTCACAGCCCTCAAAGACTCTCCCCAGACTCCCCATTAAAAAAAAAAAAAAAAAGAGAGAAAAAAAAAAGGAGAAAAAAAAAAGAAAGAAAAAATATAAAATAAAATGTTCATTTCCATATTATCACTTCATGGTATCTTGCCTAGAAGTTGCCCTGAGCAGTGTATATGCTCACTTTTAAGAATAGAACAATGTCAAAAACTCTTTGAAGATCCACTCTGAACATTTTTATATTCAAAAACTTGCTAAATATTTTAAACATGCCCAGAAACAGCCATGTATTGCTCAATAATAATTCTTATATTTAATAATGCAGCACACCTACACTATAAAACTCTTTGTTATAAGGCTACTTTTGATATATGGCTATCTTAATCCCTTGCCACCTGCACTGAAGTCTGGCTAAATACCCACTTTATGACAACCAGCTATATAGGCTTTGTCACATTCAGTCTTTATCACTTCAGCATGTGCTTGACTTTGACCATGTGAGTAATCAACATCAGTGAAACTTAAGCACAGGCTGAAGTGCTGTGTTGGATAGTGATGAAATTATTAATGTGTTTAGAGTTAAGCACAAGTCAAGACTTCATTAATACTGTTCAATGAATTGCACATGGACTCAACCCTACACTCCATAAGTAGGCATGACTTTCAGGGCTGATGGCTCGAGTATAACTTTTTATCTTTACATTAGTTGATAGATACAGTATATGTACTGAGATGTGACATCCAGTCTATGAGCCTTGGGCAGTCAACAGTAGCTTTAAGGTTGCTCTAAAGCCAAACAAGTACTGTCACTGGAGTTCAGGCATGAGACAGGTTTGCAGGTCTGGATCCTACTGAGATCCTACTGAGGTTCAGAAATATTGTTTTGTAGGCTAGGAAGGATGGTGAGATTAAAGAATGAGAGGACTGGGATAAAACTTAAGGGTTGCCCTTGCCTGATTCCTGACCCAAAGGACATCCATATCTATGCATCTATTGATATCTATGTCAGATACTTCAAAGGCCCCCCGATGGAGAGTTAACAACCCTCCCAAAGTTTACCTCATTCCTTTTCTCCTTTACTACCAGGAAGGTTCCCCAAATGCCTAATTTAAATCTTTCTTCATACAATTTAAGATTATATTTTGTCTTACCTACACATACATGAAAAACGCAGGAAACAATTTAGTCTGCATCTCATGTACAGATATCCAGCCCAGAGATTTTCAGTTGAACCACTTTGTGTCTCTTAAAAAACAAATCTCCCAACTTGAATCGGAAATGCCAAGTGAGAGGGAATTCACAAAGTATCAGAGCAGTCTGTGGCAATGGTTGACTATTTTCGACATTAAAAAAAAAACTTTTTCTTTCCAACTTAAATTGCTGAATTCAACTGCCAACATTAGACCTTTTAATGTTTTTACTTGGTAGATTAAAAATCTCTCCAGTATCATCTCCCTAAGCAGGTAATTATAAACTATGAACTTGTTGAACACTCTTGCCTTTTCTGAGTACTATGACAAAAGATGGTCCTTTCCAGAAATATTAAAATGTGTTCCCTTCATTACTGCAAGACAGATTATGATCTGTTCAAAATGTCAAAGCAATAATGTGCTCCTTTCTCTTTCACGAACAGCAAACAACAAAGCTAAATTCAGATCCTGCCTCCCAAATTCTGCCCTTATGGAGGGCAGTGAGAAAATACAGGTCGGTTTGCCCAGCCCAGAACAAGAGTAGCCTGGGTCTGTGGGCATTCATCCCACTTCACCAGGTAGCCTGAACCCCCTGACTTATCTGTCCTCTGCAGTCTGACTTACATCATTTAGTGATACGCAGATCTTCCTTGCCCAGTAGGTACTTAACTTTCTATACACCCTGAACACTGAGCACCTTTGCCCTGGAGACAAATTTCCC